GTGTCCAGTCACGTGTCCCCCTATCCCCCGTGTCCAGTCACGTGTCCCCCTATCCCCCCGTGTCCAGTCACGTGTTCACTCACCAGCTTTTTCTTGGGGGATAGGAAGGCGTGGCACTCCAGGGCCCCGTTGGACTGGTTCTGGGCCACGTAGGCAAAGACTTTGTTTTGCACTTTGTCTGTTGTACAATACGAGATTCTGGAGAAACGTCATCGTGGAGAATTAGAAGATCATACGTGTGACCCGCCATCTCCTACACGCAGCAACCACGGCCTCACCTGTATATGGAGACGTATTCAATTCTGTGTCCCCCGCCCGCCTCCTGGATGTCAATCCCACGCGGTGTCACCGTGACAATCACTTTCCGGAACTTCTCTGAACTGGCTCGTGCCTACACACACAACCGCCATCCGTGACACACACACTACCGCCATCCGTGACACACACACAACCGCCATCCGTGACACACACATTACCATCACCCGTGACACACACACTGCCGCCATCCGTGACACACACACACACACACTACCGCCATCCGTGACACACACACTACCGTCATCCGTGACACACACACTACCGTCATCCGTGACACACACACTACCGTCATCCGTGACACACACACTACCGTCATCCGTGACACACACACTACCGTCATCCGTGACACACACACTACCGTCATCCGTGACACACACACTACCGTCATCCGTGACACACACACTACCGTCATCCGTGACACACACACTACCGTCATCCGTGACACACACACTACCGTCATCCGTGACACACACACTACCGTCATCCGTGACACACACACTACCGTCATCCGTGACACACACACTACCGTCATCCGTGACACACACACTACCGTCATCCGTGACACACACACTACCGTCATCCGTGACACACACACTACCGTCATCCGTGACACACACACTACCGTCATCCGTGACACACACACTACCGTCATCCGTGACACACACACTACCGTCATCCGTGACACACACACTACCGTCATCCGTGACACACACACTACCGTCATCCGTGACACACACACTACCGTCATCCGTGACACACACACTACCGTCATCCGTGACACACACACTACCGTCATCCGTGACACACACACTACCGTCATCCGTGACACACACACTACCGTCATCCGTGACACACACACTACCGTCATCCGTGACACACACACTACCGTCATCCGTGACACACACACTACCGTCATCCGTGACACACACACTACCGTCATCCGTGACACACACACTACCGTCATCCGTGACACACACACTACCGTCATCCGTGACACACACACTACCGTCATCCGTGACACACACACTACCGTCATCCGTGACACACACACTACCGTCATCCGTGACACACACACTACCGTCATCCGTGACACACACACTACCGTCATCCGTGACACACACACTACCGTCATCCGTGACACACACACTACCGTCATCCGTGACACACACACTACCGTCATCCGTGACACACACACTACCGTCATCCGTGACACACACACTACCGTCATCCGTGACACACACACTACCGTCATCCGTGACACACACACTACCGTCATCCGTGACACACACACTACCGTCATCCGTGACACACACACTACCGTCATCCGTGACACACACACTACCGTCATCCGTGACACACACACTACCGTCATCCGTGACACACACACTACCGTCATCCGTGACACACACACTACCGTCATCCGTGACACACACACTACCGTCATCCGTGACACACACACTACCGTCATCCGTGACACACACACTACCGTCATCCGTGACACACACACTACCGTCATCCGTGACACACACACTACCGTCATCCGTGACACACACACTACCGTCATCCGTGACACACACACTACCGTCATCCGTGACACACACACTACCGTCATCCGTGACACACACACTACCGTCATCCGTGACACACACACTACCGTCATCCGTGACACACACACTACCGTCATCCGTGACACACACACTACCGTCATCCGTGACACACACACTACCGTCATCCGTGACACACACACTACCGTCATCCGTGACACACACACTACCGTCATCCGTGACACACACACTACCGTCATCCGTGACACACACACTACCGTCATCCGTGACACACACACTACCGTCATCCGTGACACACACACTACCGTCATCCGTGACACACACACTACCGTCATCCGTGACACACACACTACCGTCATCCGTGACACACACACTACCGTCATCCGTGACACACACACTACCGTCATCCGTGACACACACACTACCGTCATCCGTGACACACACACTACCGTCATCCGTGACACACACACTACCGTCATCCGTGACACACACACTACCGTCATCCGTGACACACACACTACCGTCATCCGTGACACACACACTACCGTCATCCGTGACACACACACTACCGTCATCCGTGACACACACACTACCGTCATCCGTGACACACACACTACCGTCATCCGTGACACACACACTACCGTCATCCGTGACACACACACTACCGTCATCCGTGACACACACACTACCGTCATCCGTGACACACACACTACCGTCATCCGTGACACACACACTACCGTCATCCGTGACACACACACTACCGTCATCCGTGACACACACACTACCGTCATCCGTGACACACACACTACCGTCATCCGTGACACACACACTACCGTCATCCGTGACACACACACTACCGTCATCCGTGACACACACACTACCGTCATCCGTGACACACACACTACCGTCATCCGTGACACACACACTACCGTCATCCGTGACACACACACTACCGTCATCCGTGACACACACACTACCGTCATCCGTGACACACACACTACCGTCATCCGTGACACACACACTACCGTCATCCGTGACACACACACTACCGTCATCCGTGACACACACAGTACCGCCATCCGTGACACACACACTACCGCCATTCGTTACACACACACACATTACCGCCATCCGTGACACACACACAACCGCCATCCGTGACACACACACATTACCGCCATCCGTGACACACACACAACCGCCATCCGTGACACACACATTACCGCCATCCGTGACACACACACACACACACTACCGCCATCCGTGACACACACACTACCGCCATCCGTGACACACACACTACCGCCATCCGTGACACACACATGACCAGATTGGCGGTCTCACCATGGTGATGATACGGCGGATGGCGGCGGCCGCCATGTCCTCTCCTTTTGGTTTCTCCACCAGCGTCATGCCCAGGTACTTGAGATGGAAGGCGGCTCCCTCCGTGTCATGTGACTCCGGCCAACTGTCCGCCAGTTCTGCAACGCAACCCAACGGGGGGAAATCATACAAACGTGGGATCTCCCGACACCGGACAATTCTAAAGCATGATACCGGCCCTTTAAATGATCAAACAAGTTGGGCTGCCTGAGGTCCCGCCCTTGCTGGACAGTGCCGGTCCGGGCATACATTGGCTCCTCCTACTCAGCACCAGTACAGTCCCACCCCCGCTTGTACAGCCCCAGAGCCCGACACAAGACCGCCCCCCCGTTCCCATCTTTGGGGTCACTGAAGTTTTGGGG